ACATATCTGAACATCTTGTGGGACACAGTTACAGAGCTTCAAGGATAAAGACAGACCACAATCTAGGGAGACATCTAAGTCAACTGTCATAACATAATTATCACCACTCCTAGTTTGGTGAGTAGTGTCTGGGGTCTTAAAAGGTTGTGAGCAAGGGGACATCAAGCTCAACTAGTAAAACATACTACACAAAAACACTATTCCACAGCCTCCTTTGGCGAGTGTCGACTGAGATCTTAAAAGCTTGCAAGCTGCCATCTAGATGCAACGATGGGTCTCTCTTTTTTCAGAGCCAAGAAGAATGAAGAAAACCAAAAATTCATGGAAACAATTAGTCCTAGCAACTGGTACCCCATCCGATCTGCAGCCTATACGACCATGAGACCAGAAGAAATAGATGGTGCTCGGCTACTACTGTCAACCACTTGGAAGAGGATCTTTGTAGGAGATCCTGGATAGACAGGGAGAACAATGTGGAACAAAACTCAAAATCATTCGGGGAAAAAAAAAAGTAGGGAACAGGTTTGCTGGACCGAGGGAACCTGGTGGAACCACTGAGACTATGGCCCCTAGCTGCCCTTCAGGTCTGGAATTGAACACACACCTGTGGCTTCCAGGCATACCAGTTGAGCATTTACCTGAGGTAGATACACTCCTTGGAGAGAATAAGCATGAGAAAAAGAAGGGCTGCTCTGGCACAGGGAGACAGTTCAGGGGGCAAGAGTACATGGAGGGATGGACACAGGGAAGAGGTAACTATGAAGAGGAAGTGGGAGGGGAGATGTTGCATTGTGCTAAATTGTAGTCAATGTCATGAGACAAAGTGTATGTGAACTGCTGTATGGAAACTGTATTTGTGCTGTAAATTTTCACCCAAATCACAATTTTAAAAAATAAATAGATAGATAGATAGATAGATAGATTGGTAATATATACACACCTAACAAGGATCTGGTCTCTAAAATACATAGAAAACTTCAACACTTCAACAATAAATAAACAATCCAATCAAAAAATAAGCAAAGGACATGAACAGACACTTTACCAAAGAAGATACTCAGGAAGCTACCAAACACATGAAGAGATGCTAGTAATCATTAGCCTTTAGAGAGATGATAATCAAAACTACATGAGATACACCTCACTCCTGCAAAAACGGCACTGACAAAAATATAGAAAATAAATACTGGTGAGCTAGTGGGATGACTGTATCTCTTATGCATGTTTGTGGGGTTATAAAATGGTACAACCACTATGGAAAACAGTATGACATTTCCTCAAACAGCTAGAAATAGAAATACCATTCGATCCAGGAACCTCATTATTAGGTATTTATCCTAGAGAAGATCATTCACAATAGTAAAAAGATGTAAACAACCCAAATGTCCATCAATGGATGGATGGATAAACAAATTGTGGCACATACATATAATAGAATACTACACAACAGAGAATGATGATGAGTCCAAGAAACATAACATGGATGAATCTGGAGGACTGTTAAGTGAGTGATACACATGAACAACAGATCATGACAATATAATGGCTATACCACCATATACAGTGCTACAACAATAGTAATGGGGGGGGGGGGACGACTCACTGCCATCAAGTCGAATCCAACTTATAGCGACCCCTCCTTGGGTTTTCAAGGCAGTATTACTACAGAAGTAGATTCCGCAATCTTCCTTCCAAGGAGTGGCTGGTAGGTTTGAACCTCCAGCCTTCTGGTTACCAGTCAAATACCTTAGGCACTGCACCACCAGAGTAGTACAACTAAAAATCTGTGAGTGCTTACTTAAGTAGATATGTATACTATATAGATGTGGGTAGACCTATGGAGTACATGTATGTGCATATATGGGTAGAGCTGTTGTTAATTACATATACCTGTTTGTTTTGCTGCATACACCTTCATATATGTAACATAGCATATAAAGGGCACAGTTATGGAAACTTCTTAGACATATCTGAACATCTTGTAGGACAGAGTTACAGAGCTTCAAGGATAAGGACAGACCACAATCTAAGGAGACATCTAGGTCAACCGTCATAACACAGTTTATAATGGTCTACATCCCAGTTTGGCGAGTAGTATCTGGGGCTGTGAGCAAGGGGACATCAAGCTCAACTAGTAAAACATACTACACAAAAACACTGTTCCACAGCCTACTTTGGCGAGTGTCAACTGGGATCTTAAAAGCATGCAAGTGGCCATCTAGATGCAACGATGGGTCTCTCCTTTTCCAGAGCAAAGAAGAATGAAGAATGAAATGTATGGAAATAATTAGTCCAAGGGACTGGTACACCATGTGATCCTCAGCCTATAAGGATGAAACCAAAAAAACTAGATAGTGCCCAGCTACCACTGTCAATCACTAGGAGGGGGATCTATCCTAGATAGAGTGGGAGAACAATATGGAACAAAACTCAAAATTATTTAAAAAAAAAAAAAAAAAGGGACCAGGTTTGCTGGTCTGACAAAACCTAGTGGAAACACTGAGATTACAGCCCCTGCCTGACCTTCAGATCTGGAATTGAACCCACTCCCGTGGCTTCCAGCCCAACAAAAGACAGGCATATGAGCTTAATATTTACAGTAGGTAGATATACTCTTTGGAGAGATCAATCATGGAAGAATAGAAGGGCCATGTATACATAAGGAGACAACTAAGGGGACAGGAAAACATGGGAATGAAGGACACAGGGAAGAGGTGGCTATGGGGAAGAAGTGGGAAGAGAGCCACTGAACCATGAGAGATTACAGTCAATGTCATGAGACAAAATGTATATGAACTGCTATATGGAAGATGAATTTGCTCTGTAAACTTTCACCCAAATCACAATGAAATAATGAAAAAAAGCTTGCTAGCAGCCATCAGAGCCAAACCAACGACTAGTCTCTAACAATCCAGAGCAAAGGAGAATAAAGGAAACCAAAGACTCAAGGAAGAAGTAAGTCAAAAGACCTCCATGAACCAGTGTCCTGAGACCTGAAGTAGATAGATAGTACCAGCTACAACTAATGACTGCTCTGACCAGGAACACAATAGAATGTCCCAGTTAGAATGGAAGCAAAATGTCGAATAAAACTCAAATTCATTTAAAAAAAAAAACAGAATAACTGGAATGATAGACTTGAAGAACCCCTGAAACTATCAGCCTAAGAGACCTTTTTAACCTGGAACTGAAGCCACTCCTAGAAATCACCTTTCAGTCAAATGCAACACCAGTGAGGAAAGTGCTAGTTACTAAATGAGACCAAACTAGCAACATCTGTCCAAAAGCAAAGGTGAGAAGACAAGGAGGGGCAGGGAAAGAGGAAGGATGGAAAACAGGGAAGGCAGGGAAGAAATGCAGACAGTGCTATCACACTGTGGGAACAGCAACCTAGGCTACATAACAATTTATGTATGAATTGTTGAATGGGAAATTAGTTTACTGTGTAACCTTTCACCTAAATCATAACATGTTTCTTTAAAAAAATAAATTATGAATAGTGAAAAAAGAGGAATGATAAGAAAAACAAGCAAAATTTGCAAAATTAAAGAACAGAAATAGAGGGTAGATATTTAAGAAAACACATAAAGGTGTGCAGCCATCAGAGCTGCAAAAAAAAAAATCAAGAACAAGCAAAAGAAGAGAATTGAGATTCATCTTGTTATTATCTGACCAGTGGACAAGGCAGTAAGTTATAGCCATAATGACTCTCCAAGGAAGTCCGTTGGCTCAATCTCAGTGTTTACATTTTTCTTGCCAATTAATAAGAATTCATTTTTCTTAAATCTCCATTCATAAGCACATAGAAATATTTTTCATCTATGCCAAAGATTATCCATCTGTAATCTTTTGGCATGTAATCATAATCTTAAATAACCAGCATTTGTCCTAATTTTTTCCACCAAACAAAATTCCAGTATTTGACTTTCTGTAGTAACAACCTACCATTGTGCTTCTTTTTGCCAGCAGAATTGCATATGTGCGTTATTGGCAAAATTTAAATCCTCGAATACGTGGAAGGCACTATGGTGGCATAGTGCCTAAGGCATTTGACTGTAACCAAAAGGTTGGCGGTTCAAACCCACCAGCCACTCTCCAGAAGGAAGACTGCATAATCTATTTATATAAGATTTACCACCTCGGAAACCCAAAAGGGGTCGCTGTAAGAAGTGACTTGATGGCAGTGAGTTTGGTTTTGGTTTTTGAAAATAGAGAATCACCATGAGTTAGAATTGACTCACTGGCAACAGGCTTGTTTTTATTTGAGGGGGAAGCGTGTTCTGAGTTATCTCTTAACAACAGCTATTCATGTAGGCAAAATGTACTTTTAAAAATAAGAAAGTTTTGTCAAGCACTCAGAGGGGGATCTATGTAGGAGATCCTGGATAGAGAGAACAATGTGGAACAAAACTCAAAATCATTTGGAAAACAAAAAAGAGGACGGGGGGTTTTACGAGGTTTGCTGGTCTGACAGAGCCTGGTGGAACCACTGAGACTATGGCCCCTAGCTGCCCTTCAGCCAACAAATGACAGGCATATGAGTTGAACATTTACCCGAGGTAGATACACTCCTTGGAGAGAACAATCATTGGAGAAAGAAAGGCTGTTTATGCACAGGGAGACAGCTCAGGGGGCAGGAGTGCATGGAGATATGGACACAGGGAAGAGGTAACTATGAGGAGGAAGTGGGAGGGGAGCTGTTGCATTGGGGTAAGTTGTAGTCAATGTCATGAGACAAAGTGTATGTAAACTGTTGTATGGAAAGTGAATTTGCTCTGTAAACTTTCACCCAAATCACAATTTGAAAATAAAATTAAATAAGAAAGTTTTGGTGTTTTGTAAAGTCCTCTGGGACAAAGAGTTTTGTTTCTAACATGCTGTCAGGTTTGTCTCTGAATTCCTAAATAGCAAGTTAAGTATTAGAACGTATCAATGGGACATAAACATAAACCACAGAGAAAAAAAAATCATACCACATCAATGTGAAAACCAATTTTTACCTTGCCTCATTAGCATTAATTGGTGTTCATGCCTAGCTGCTTCCATTTCTGCCTCTAGTTTCTCTTTGGCTTCTCTGATGTTTCTATCAACCTGCTCACGCTGCTGCTTTTCCATTTCATCAAGAGCCTTCCATCGAGATGCGTACTCAAATTCAAATGTCCCAGGCTGAGCAAAACGTGGAGGCTGTTCTCTTTCCCTAAATTGACATTTAAAAACATACAGAAATGTATGTTTAAAAGGGAAAACAACAACAACAGACAGTATCAACAACTACTATTTATTGAGCACTTTAAAATGTTCAAGGTACTATTAACAGGCAGATTCTTTATATGAATTATCTCACAGCAAGATGGTGATGCAGATTTTACAAGTATGAGTGACAAACTACCCAAGGATGCCCAAATAGTAAGTAAGGAAACCAGGACTCAAACCTAAGTAATCTGCTGTTATAACCTGAACTCCCCTAGTTATTGCTTTGAGTAAGGCCTACATGATTTTCACTCAACTAACAATTTAAATAAGACAGTCTCCAACGTATGAATCAAGTATGTTCTAACTTAATGGTCTAGAATCACCTTTCTTTCCCTAAATGTTACTTACAGATAGTAATGAAGCTAGAGTTTATTTTGCTATATGCCAGGTTAACTGGCTAGGTGAAGAATAAAGGCCTAAAAATGTACCTGAAATACAAACAGAGTCTTTAATTATTCCTGACTATCATAGCTCCTATTAAGAAAAGTATTGATAACAACACAATCCCCATCCTATCTATAAAAATACAGATACTTTACAATTTTAACTTTTATATGGGGTTTTGGGGAGGATGGCCCTTAGTGGGACAAATTTGGGAGATAAAAGGGGATGCTGTCACAGAGAGGGAAAGTAATAATAACAGCTTCAGAGATCTGACAGTGGTATGTAAGAAAAATCAAAGTTAGCCACAATTTAGACTTTCTATACCTAAAAAGGGGAGCTCTGGTAGCATAGTGGCTAAGACACTTGCCTGCTAACCAGACGGCTGGCGGTTCAAACCCACATGCCACTCCTCGGAAGGAAGGTTGGGCAATCCTACTTCCGTAGTGATACTGCCTCGGAAACCCAAGGAGGGGTCGCTATGAGTCGGGGCCGACTCGACGGCACATAACAACAACAACAACAACATACCTAAAAAGGAGATCTGGATTTTCTCTTTTTTAAAGCAGTTCCTATGTGAGAGATCCACTATAATCATTAAAACATGAAAAATGTATTTTCTGTCAAACCCCAATGACCAATATGGATTTTTGGAATTAGAAATTAATCTGTTATCTTGGCCCTTAGGCTTTGTGAACATTCCCTCCAGAACATAATTTAGCAGTAATATTGGAAATATAACTAGGTCTTATAAGGTTTGTTGGGACAATTAAATAATTATATAAACAAACATCTATAAATTCCAATTCTTGTAACACCTTTGCTTCTCTAACTTCTGAACCCAAAAGTAAGCTTATTACAAATTTGTCATGGTAAGCCATGACCAGAAAAAAGTCAAGTGAATAGAAAATTAAGTCTTTGAAAAATGGCACTGTAATAGAAGTTAAAATGGTTATGACTTGCAGTTGATTACTACTGATGGTCTGTCTCTGAAATACTTTCCTCATTTGCTTCTAGGACACTTTCTCCTGGTTGTCCCCTACTCCACTAACTGCAATCTCAGTCTCTTCTGATTCCTTCTGATTTTCCAAATCTCTAGATTTAACTCCAGCCCAGAGAGCTCCTCTAATTTCAGATTCAGATCAAGTTATCTACTTCTCATCTCCACTCAGATATCAAATAGTCATCTCAATCTTAACATGCCCAAAACTGAGTTCCTGCTCTTCTTCTCCAAAATCTCCTCTTCTTATGGTATTATCCAAATCAATCATTTGCAATTTCTATACTTCCAGTTGCTTAGGCCAAAAACTTTACAGTCATCCATTTAATTCACTCTCATATCCCCATATCCATCAGTAAAGCTCACAGACTAACTCCAAAAGCTAATCACTTCTCCCTGCCTCAACTGTAACTACTCCATGTCAGTAGGCCCCCAATTTAATTTCTCAATTCCACCTCTGTCCCTTTTACAATCTACTCTTAAAACAGTACTCGGGGAGGGTACATTGTAAAAAAAAAAAAAGAAAAAGACTGCAAAAATATAGCACATTATATGGTAATATTGAGGATTCACACACTACTAGCACATACTAAAGAAATAATGTAATAGAGTCACAAAAAAAAAAAAAAAAAAACAGCACTTGGGTTAAAATTTTATGTTGTATATGGTAGCATAGCACCTAGGGCGCTTGACTGCTAACCAGAAGACTGGTGGTTCAAACCCACCAGCCACTCCTCAGAAGGAAGGCTGGGCAACCAACTTCCGTAGTAATAGGAAACCCAGGAAGGGTCACTATGAGGTCAGACTCAGTGGACTCTCAATGGCACATAACAAAAACAACATCTTTTATCACCCAAAAAAACATTTAAATAGATAAAAGCAGTCAGAATGATCCTGCTAAAAAGTGTGGTTACTACTATGGCTCCTTCCTTTCACACAAAGAAACAAAGGCTCAACTCAGCCTACAAGGCCCAACCATCTGCACTCCTCCCAAAACATTCTCTCTCTGACCTTGTCCCTCACTCTGTTCCAGATAAATTGGCCTCTTTACCGTCAGGAAAACATGTCAGACTCAATTCTCCGTCAAAGCCTTCATAGTTACTGTTCTTTTGCTGACGCACTGTTCTCCTACTTCTGATATCTACACAGCTAGCTTCCACCCCTCCTAGAAGTTTTTACTCAAATTTCACATTCTCAGGGAGGCGTTCCTAACCACCTAACCATTCACCTGCTCTCCAGCATGCCCTTCCTCCTATCCCATTTTTTCCCATATTGGTTTTACTTATTTTATTGTTTATCTTCCCACACCATCTACATACATCACCATGCATTTTCAACCATTTTGTATGATATACAGCCAGTGCTGAGCACATAGTAAGCACTCCTACCTGCTGTGTAAATCAACTATATGGAAAAACATTCAACTGCACTAAAGTAAAAGAATGCTAATTAAAGTAACGTGCATTAAATACCATTTTGAGCAGAGACTATGAAATCTTAAAATCATAAAACTGATTTTTTTGTGTGTGAGGATGAAGAAAAACAAATGTTTTTATACATATGCCAATGACTGTAAACTGAAATAATGTGTCTGGAGAGCCACTTGTCAATATGAATACATTTTAAATATGCATACCATTTGATCTAAGCTCTTATACCCTGCTTTAGTTCATTTGTTCGTGTATTTGTTTTTTAATAATATTTCTCACTACTTAGCATGTTTCATAATTTTTTGGTTCAAGTGTTTATTATATATCTCCATCACCAGACATGTTCAAAACTGCATTGCCAGTACCTAGAACAGTGCCTGGCACAAAGACAATCCAACTTGAATTCATCATTGAACGTGTGTTAGTTTTATTTATAATAATAAACAAGAGATTGGTTAAAAAATATACAAAGTATTCATACAACCAATTTAACATAAAAATATACATAGCATACTAAGTAAAAAAGACAACTGATAAAACAATATACAGCACATTGTGAAAACAGATCATTATTCTTCTTTTCTCTAAGAATACTTACTCTATGCCTGGTTACTGTTGTTGTTGTTATGTGCCGTCGAGTCAGCCCCAACTCATAGCAACCCCTCCCTGGGTTTCCGAGGCAGTATCACTATGGAAGTAGATTGCCCAACCTTCCTTCCAAGGAGTGGCTGGTGGATTTGAACCACCAGCCTTCTGGTTAGCAGTGAAGTGCCTTAGGCACTATGCTACCAGAGCTCCTAAGCCTGGTTACTAGGATTACTTAACTAGGATAACTCATCCCAAAAAAGCCACCTTTTAACGCATAACGTACCTGCAGTATACTAGTTATCAAAAAATTCCCATTATATTCAGATGTCATTGTTTCTATGCTCATAAATATTACAGTCTTCTGCTACCCACCCACCTCAGCTATAAAAATAGTAAGTTTTCTTAATAAAATTAATGTTTTACCCATATAGAAAAGAAAACTAGCATTTCATAGAATAGGCTACTCTAACAATTAGACTATATTATCAAACATAATATTCTATAATTCAACAATACTTGATAAAAATGTCATTAACACTCTTGACAGTACACATCTGAAATAGCTTTATTAATAAAATCTTACTTATGATATTGTTGAGTTTTCTGCATTAGCTTCTCTGGCAAGCCATCTTCATCATCAAACTGTTCCATGGGCTCCACAATGACTGGACGAGGGGTCCTGCACAGGTGTAAGAACATTTATAAAAATTAACACAGTGTCAAGAATTAAGTTCCTCCAAAATTTTTATATACAAAATGTATACAAAAAAAGTATCTCAGAAGTATCATATATTCTCATAAAATTAGTCAATAAACATTTACTGAGCCACATACAGTGGATATAAAGATGAATAACAGAATGCTTGATTTTTTCGAGTGTAAAGATGACAGAGAAGTAAATGGACAACAACTATGAGCCCGTATAATCACAGAGTTAACTTATAAACCACAAGGAAAAAGAAGTATCTAATTCGTATTTTATTTATGCAGCCCTCATCAACCCCATGCCCCACCACCTAAATATCCTATTATCTTTGAAACCCCCAAACCCCCTGTATCTACCTGCTTAGTCAGAAGTCTTTCTAAAAAAGGCTAAAGCCTAAAATTAGGTGCTCTGGTAGCGTAGCGCCTAAGGCACTTGACTGTTAACCAGAAGGCTGGCGGTTCAAACCCACCAGCCACTCCTCGGAAGGACGGTTGGGCAACCTACTTCCGTAGTGATACTGCCTCGGAAACCCAAGTACGGGTTCGCTATGTTTCGGGGCCGACTTGATGGCACATAACAACAACAAAGCCTAAAATTCGACCTATAAGATGTCAGCCAAGCCAAAAGAGAGGAGGGGAGTCAGAAGACAAAGCACATTAAGGGGGGGTAGGCAGACAAGAAGAGTGGCTGATAAAAGATCTGAGTAGAAACCCTCCTTTACAATTTTCCTAAGTGAAAAAGGAGAAAAGGCTCTCTGGGAAAAAGGAGAAATAAGTGAAACAGGTGATAGATAATACATTGGTAATAAAATTCTTGAGACCAGTCCCTCACCACGCAAGCAACAGTAAAATCTATTTTACACTGACTTCAGAGAAAAAGGTTACTGGTAACTTTTGAGATTTTATAAGCACAGGAAAGTTGTTAATTCATATCAACTAAGAAAGCTATGATTAAAAAATCAGAAAACAATAGAGAATTATAACTTAATATAGCAATTCCAGTCATAGGTATGTTGTTGTTGTTGTTGTTATTTGCCGTTGAGTCGGCCCCGACTCATAGCGACCCCTCCTTGGGTTTCCGAGGCAGTATCACTACGGAAGTAGGATTGCCCAACCTTCCTTCCGAGGAGTGGCTGGTGGGTTTGAACCGCCAGCCTTCTGGTGAGCAGTCAAGTGCCTTAGCCACTATGCTACCAGAGCTCCCAGTCATAGGTATACACTCAAAATAAATGAAAGCAGGAATTTAAATAAATAGTTTTACACTAGTGTTCAGTGCAGCTAAACGACGGAAATAACCCAAATGTCCGTCAACAGATTAATGGATAAATAAAATGACCTCTAAGAAATATTCAGTCATAAAATATCGATCCGTACTAACAATTGTTGTTGTTGGGTGTTGAGTCAATTCTACTAATAAGTAGGGCTGCTCAAAAAAGAAATTTTTAAAAAAACGGCACCTGGGTCCAACTGACACTGACAGTATACTATAAGAGTTAAGGCATTCTTAGAAAAGTAAGTAGTAGTTTACATTTTCACCACCAGCAGGTCTGTCTAGATATCCTTTACATTCCTAATATAACAAGCAAAAGAAATACTACAAACTGATTATTAAAGGACTTTTTTTCTTAATCTACCAGTAACCTCTTTTAATGTAAAACCAAACCAAACTCACTGTTGTCGAGTCTGTTCCAACTCATAGCAACCTCTCCTTGGGTTTCCGAAGCGGTATCTCTACAGAAGTAGATTACCCAATCGTCCTTCCAAGGAGTGGCTAGTGGGTTTGAACCGCCAGCCTTTTCGTTAGCAGTCAAATGTCTTAGGCTCAATGCCACCAGAGCTCCGTTTTAATGGAAAGGTATGTGATAAAACAAAATGCTGGCAAAAAGTAATCTTTTTAATATATGAATAATAAATAAGTACCAAAAAATTATTAATGTCACAATCACCTATATGCAGTCCTGAGACTGGTATTCCACCATCCTAACTAATTAAAGTTGGTTTTCTGTGTTTAAAAACTCTGTATACAATGTGTTTTATGCTGAATACCTCCTTTCCTTCTGAGAATTATGATACATGTTGAAAAGGGTGCCCACATGACTCACACCCCCCTACACCCCAACAATAAAAACACTGGCCTTCAAGAGAGTTTCCCCAGCAGATAACTGAGGAGAGTTTCCCAGAAGGTAACATTTCACTCCAACTTGTTGCTGGTTAATTATGCAAGCCCTGTGTGACACTACCAGAAGACATTTTTAGAAATTTGCACCTAGTTTCCTTAGGACTTTGCCAATGCACTTTTCTCTTTGCTGATTTTGCTTTCTATCTTTTCACTGTAATGAATCTTAGCTGTAAGCACCACTGTATGCTGAGTCTTGTGAGTCCTAGTGAATCAATGAACCTGGAAATGGTCTTGAAGCCTCCTTAATAGATCTGTAAGGTACACTAAGCAAATATAATCCTTTATTGACACTTTCCTATTTTTATTTCCAATATTTTTCCTCATCAGTTTATTAACATCATTACTCAACTAACTGTATACATTTTTTTTTTCACTTCCGTAATTAAAGTTTTATTTATAGAAAACTAAAAGAGCTCTGGCAGTTCAAACCCATCAATCACTCCGCAGAAGGAAGACCGTGAAATCTACTTCCGTAAAGATTTATGGCCTCGGAAACCCAAAGGGAGTCACTGTAAATCGGAATCAACTTGATGTCAGTGAGTTTGGGACTGTTTTTTGTGTGTGTTTGAAATGGTTTTAGAGTAGTTGTTGCACAGCATATGTGCACAGTAGAATGCTCTGCCATAAACAAACTTGGACTTGAAATTTTGTTGTTTGTGTTTTTGTTGAGATGTATTTCAGGTACCATAAAATTTCCACTTTTGAAGTATACAGTTCAGTGTTTTGTAGTACAGCCTCAAAGATGTGTAACCATCACTTAGACCATTTTCATCACTCCAAAATGTAATCCCAAATCCATCTAAGTAGTCACTCCCCATTCCTCTCTCCCACCAGCCACCAACAACCACTCATCTACTTTGCATCTCTATGGTGTATTCTCTTTTTAAAACAATAATTACCATGAGTGTTACACTTTCCATTGTCATGAAATGTTCCTTGGGAAATGATGATAACATGCTAATCCCCAGTAAGCATATTTCAATTTATTCCTTACATTCTCTACTGAGAAATTTAGATTACTCCAAGACATTTAGTATTCTGTTAATAAATAAAATGAGCCAAATACACTCAATTCCATTTACTGACATGGTTAGGTTCTAAAGAACAAGTCATTGAACAAAAAGGATCATAAAATAGAGGATGACTACATCCTTACATGGGAGCTCTGGTAGCATAGTGGCTAAGGCACTTGACTGCTAACCAGAAGGCTGGCGGTTCAAACCCATCAGCCACTCCTCGGAAGGAAGGTTGGGCAATCCTACTTCCGTAGTGATACTGCCTCGGAAACCCAAGGAGGGGTCGCTATGAGTCAGGGCTGACTCGACGGCACATAACAACAACAACAACAACAACAACATCCTTACATAAACCGCTGAGAATCATGGCCCAGTCAAGCTGACACATAACCTTAACCATAACAGCCAGCCTTACTCTCACCTCTTAACTTGAACATTAGTTACTATAGACATATGCCATTAATATGCAAAATAGTCAGGCAGTAGACTTTTTACTACTGCTGTAAATGCAAAATGTCAAATGAGAGACAGTAAGTGGAGAATGGACGTAAACTAATACATAGAATCTGAGTAAACTTATTTGCTTAAAATATATCTCTAAATATTCCATGGTGTGGTCACGGGGACATCAAGTTCAACTGGCATTACACAGTACATTGTTCCACATTCCATCTTTGTGAGCAGTGCTTGGGGTTTTAAAAACTTCTGAGCAGCCATCTAAGATGCAACAATTGGTCTCTCCTCATCCACAGTAAGGAAGCAGAGGCAGGGATCCAGGTAAGGCCGGGGACCCAGGCCATGGCCCCCAAGTGGCAGGAAAACAGAGAAAAAAAACTGGGGGGGGGGGAGGCGGGGGCAAGGACCAGGATAGAGCAAGCAACAGAGGCAGGGATTCAGGTAAGAGGCCACACCCCTCCCAAGCAGCTGGAAAGCAGAGAAAAAGGGGGCAGGGGGAGCTGTCAGTCAGTTTGTCATACTATGGTGGTGTGCTGCTGTGAGACTTGAGGCTGTGTCACTAGTGTCTCAAACTCATTAGGGTTGCACATGGTGCACAGGTTTCAACAGCTTACAGACTGAGACAGACTAGGAAGGAGGAGGAAGCCACCCACTTCTCAAAGAATTGGCCAGGGAAAACCTTATGAATAGCAAAGAAACACTGCCTGATACATTACTGTGCAACTTTATGATTAGCCTGGAAACATTCTCCAATACAGTGCAGAGGATAAGCCACTTAGGTTGAAAGGCTCTCGAAACAGGACCAAGAAAGCTGCATCATCAGAGTAGAACCAGCCTTGATGATATGGATCAGGTAAAGCTTTCAAAACTTCCAATTGCTGATGTGGCAGGACTCAAATTGAGGAGAAACAGCTACAAACATCCATTAATAATCGGAACATGGAATGTACGAAGCATGAATCTAGGAAAATTGGAAGCTGTCAAAAATGAAATGGAGGACATAAAGATTGATATGCTAGGCATTACTGAGCTGAAATGGACAAGTCTGGTCCATTTTCAATCAGACAACCAAGTGGTCTACTATGCCAGGAATAACAATTTGAAGGCGAGTGGTATGGCGTTCATCATCACAAAGGATGTTTCAAAATCTGTCCTGAAGTACAATGCTGTCAGTGATAGGACAATATCCATATGCCTACAAGGAAGATCTGTTAATATGACTATTATTCAAATTTATGCACCAACTACCAACGCGAAAGATGAGAAAACTGAAGATTTTATCAGCATCTGCAGTCTGAAACTGACTGAACATGCAATCAGGAT